CCTCATGCATACGAGGAGCATTGGCAGTTCAGTCCCGGCAGAGATAATCTGGCTCGGTCTAGCCCCAGTACATTCAGCATTTACGACTAGTCCCTGTGCATGAGATGTTTCACTAATCAGTTGCTATTCAGCCGGGCCGTTCAGGCGGGCCCTTCACGCGGGCCTACTTGAGATCGTTGTTGTTCAGGCGGGCCCTTCAGGCGGTCCTACTTGACATTGATGCTGCTCAGCCGGGCCCCTCAGGCGGGCCTACTTGAGATTGTTGCCCTTTTTCAGCCAGGCCCCTTCAGGCGGGCCCCTTCTTCTGAGATAGCTGCTGTTCAGCCAGGCCCATTCAGGCGGGCTTTATATTGAGTTGCTGTTCAGCCGGGCCCATTCAGGCGGGCCTTATTTCAAACTGCAGTTCGGTCAGGCCATTCAGACAGGCGTCCATATTGAGTTGCTGATTGCTATCTGGCCAGGTCTTGGAGGGAGTATTCGCATTAGTGCACCTTTTATCCAAGTTGGCCCGACGTCGTGAGACTACCCCTAAGTGGGGTAGATTGATCGAGAGGTTCTGCTACAGACATGTGGGACATCAGAGTTTCACTATCAGGKCTAATGAGTCCTCGACTAGGAGACACACGCTCATGATCACCTACTCGGTGAAGGGGGCAGAGACGGGAGTGAAGGRCACCACATACGAYAGGATTKYGGATTGCATATTTCGCAGGGAGAGTTATTGGAGGGACAACTGGCTGCACGTGGTGTTTCGTCGCGTACCTTCAGCTCCTGGGGGTGTGCTCTTCGATTTTGACGGATGCAACCCCAAGCCTCTTAGTGAGCCCCGAAACAAGGAGAAGAGGCGGAAGGACGACCGGATCCAGAGAGAGATAACCAGATCCGGAGTCCCAATCACTACATGTGTCCCTAAATCAGAGACAGATGGGTCGGATTTGGAGCCCTGCTCTGTGAGTGACCTTGATCTTGGCGATTATTTCGACTGGGACACTCACAGGGGTTGAGTTTGTGGACAGCGACAGGAGCGCTGGAGACCAGTGAGCGGAGACGTCGGAGGGCGACATTGAGGAGGATCGCACATCTTCTAGCATGGTATCTTCTTGAGGGTGATTGACTCCTACATGTCAGACGACCCTAGGTCTGAGACAGTTATTGGTTCCCCAAGAGGGGAAGGTCCGGTCCCATACCTCGGAGATGGCTATAGTCATTTGGTCGGGACAGACTTTGCTATGCAGGCTTATCGAAAGCCTCTTTACGGAGATCSCTTTYTYRAGGTTTCCTACATTTACTCTGGTGGGARAGGACGTATTGAGATATTGATTGGAGCTTCAGGCGATATCATTCTTGCGGAGGAGCTTTATCTCAGGAGCGTCGCAGACGAGGAGATGGCTAGATGCATCTCGACATCAGCTACGTGGTTCCAAAGTCGATAGCCACGCGAGTTCTCAATGACGAGGAGTCCCAGACGACAGGACTTATTCACAAGGGGGTACCACTTATTATCATTGATTGAGGTTCTCTCTTTTCAGTCCCTATAATGTATTACAACATTATTATTTATTAGTGACTGCAACCCTCCAATGGTTGCTCCCTGCATACTCTGTGTACTACTCTTCAGTCTCGTATCTCTGGTCATACTCTTGCAGAGTCTGGTTTCTGGTCTTCCTATTTTGTCAGTGTCAATTGCTCTATGATGCATGTTTGTTATTTTTCCTCCTTATTTTATACAGGTTACACTCAAGGCAGCTTGAAGGACTCCTGAATGATAGGGACTCCGGTGACCTTGGGTCTATCCTTTATACGGGGTCAGGTGCAGGCGATAAACCCGAACGCCTCACTCTAAGCCGTGTCGCCGCTGGCAGGAGGGATAACCCTGACTACTCGGCTGTATGACTAAGTGTGACTACTGCTGAATACACCTCTATTTTTATACCTATCAAAATCCTGCGTGACAGCCTGCCAGTCCTCCAACCCACTGAGCTCGGTCCGGAGAAGGATATCTAACCAGACCCTTGAAGCGGTGGGGGCGCGACAAAAATGGAGCCGTTGCCGGGGACTCAAAAATCTTGAGTTCCCTGGGAGCGGACCTTGGTCACAACATTCTGTGACTAGGCAGCAGTCTAGCATATTTCGTACGAGGTCTGACTCAGGTCAGAAAGACTTTCGGCTAGAGGAGCCCCGAGAGGAGGGGCCTCTTGCAGAAGTCTATCTGAAGTGATTCAGACCTGCAAGCAAGAGTTTGGAATTTGTTTTCTGGACCCTTCGCTTGAGAAGTCTATAAGTCAGAAACCAGATGATGACTGAAGAGTATAATGTCCTAGAAGCCCTAACTCGTGTCACCTGCGATGGTGCCTTCCCTTATATGTTTGTGAAATGCATTACTTGTGTGAAAAGTACAGCGACTGTGCATGTACTTGTCTCTAGATTCCTTTACACTGATGACTATGATATTCGACCCTACATCCTAGAAGGGACTAATCGGGATCCTAGTTTCTTTACCAACTGGGATGTCATAGTGGAGTGTGTCAAAGCCGAGAGGGATTAGTTGAGACAACAAGGGATAGAGGCGAGTTGGAGCTTACTGCCTAGGATTTATGAGAAGATTCCTACCCCGCCAGTACCTAAAGGATTCTGTGATGGTAGGAACTGGCAGCCAATCATCAATGCAGCATTGAGAAGGCAAACTTGGTAAGTAGTCAATGTCAGCAGTAACGAAAGCGATAGAGGCACTGACTAGGATCACGACTGGGGGTGCCTTCCCGTACGTCATTGAGAGGTGTGTGACTTGTGAGCACGACTCAGTAATCTTGTACGTCCTTGTAGCTCGGTTTCTTGATACGGATGACTATGATGTGAGGCCATACGTATCTGCTGAGACAAGGAGAGGGATCGATTTCGAAGCATGTTGGATATGTTCTGGATGAAAGGCTGTTGCTGAGACAACGAGGAAATAAGGTAACTTGGAGTGTCCTACCTAGAGAGTTTGAGAGATTCCCAAGTCCGCCTGTGCCCGCTAGCTTCTGCGACGGGAAGGACTGGGGACCAATCCTCAACGCGGTACTTAGGGACCGAGTGTGGTGAGCCATGCCAAGAGATGTCTACATTCCTGATGACGGAGAGAGCTTCTGCTTCGAGGTCTATCTAGATTAGCAGCGAGCGACTGTCATCGGGGCCGTGAGAGGGTGCGACACTAGACTAGGTAGTCGTGATGAGATTGGCATGGTAGAGCAGTACCTTGAGCTTATGCGGGTGGCTGCTTTTAGAGCAATTACGGATCAGACTAAGATTAGGCATCTGCTGGATTGCAAGAGTTCTGACGGCAGGAGAGTGATATTGCATGCGAGAGATAAGACCATCCTATCTAGACAGCGTCCTGCGGACAGTCTGGCTAGAGGCGCTAGAAGCAGCCGAAGGCAATGATACTGGAATGTGAAAACTCTATGTCAATTGCGACTGTGACCATTGGTAGAGGATGGTTAGATAAAGTAACTGAGACTGACAGTCTGTTCGAGATATTGAGACACGATGTCTGTAAGGAAGGACGTTTAGTATTTTATGTTCCAGTGGTCAGTTTTTTCAAGACTGACGAGCTTGACATGAGGGTTTATGCTCAGGAAGGAATAAAAGAAGAAGAAGGCTATTTAGAGTGCCTGAGGAGAGTGTACATTCACCTCTCGAGGATAAGGGAACTGCTTCGAAGCTTGCATGAGAAAGTGACTTGGGGGAAACGAGTCAGGCAATTTGAAAGACTCCCTAGTTTTCTGACTACGGATAACTTCACTAACAGGAGAGACTGGGCGCCTCTTCTAGAAGCTATTGCCGTGGTTGGTAAGGCATGAGAAAATGACCTAGTCATGCGACCAAAGACTCTGTTTTCCGACACCTTTGTACGTCGGTTCGAAGTTCAAGACGAAGCTTCTCCTGAATTTTTCCTCACCTGACAATGGAAAGGAGCCTGTTATGGCTGAGGAGAATGTTGGTTTCCTAGGAAGCAGGCATATTTGGGAGAAGGCTGAAGGAAGGGTATTACCAAATATTAATTTTTCGGTCATCTTGCGCCTACTCCGGGATTAGGAACCCTTCACGGTAGGAGGGGCGTTTCCTTATAAGATTGAGAGATACACTGTCTTCGCCATACCTGAGGCAGAAGAAAAACTGTATGTGTTAGTAACTCGCTTCCTAGAGACCAATGAATATGACGTGCGTATATACACTCCAGTGACTAGGAAGATTTGGCGGCGGTATACTGGGTGTCACGAGTGGGCACTTAGTCACGTCTGTAAATACAGAAACGAACTCAAGAAGGAAGGTAAGAAAGTTACCTGGAGTGTGGAGCCTACTGAGTACGAGAGTTTTCCAAGTCCTCTTATTCCGAATAGCTTCGTCAATGGTGAGAATTGGGAGCCTATCCTTAATACCGTTTTAAGAGATAGGAAGTGGAGCAGTATCAACATTGGCGATTCAAGCATTGGATAGGATTAGACGGATCAGAGACAAAGAAGAATCATGGGGGTCGCTAAGGACTAGGCAATGTCTGGTTACTGTCCGGCAGTCACGGCAGCACTAAACGCCTTAGTTCCTTTTACCAGTGGAGGAACTTTTCCCTATAAGATAGAGCGCTGCATATCCCTGGAGGAGAAGCATGCCCCTGGGAAGACGTATGTCCTTATAGTGAAGTTCCTTGATACTGGTGAATATGATATCCGGCCCTATATTCCCTCATTGAGGGAGAGAGGGACCGATCGCGAGTCCTTGCAGAACTGGATTAGTGATATAGTTAATCAAGAAAAAAGAGAGTTAGAAAGAAAAGGAGCAAGAGTAGTTAGTAACATAACTCCGATTGTGTTTGACAGGTTTCCCGAGCCAGTTTTGGAGGAAAGCTTTACTGACGGCAGAAACTGGGAACCGATTTTAAACGCAATCATAAGAGAGAAAAGGTTCAGGAAGAACTAGGAGTTTGACTAGTAAGCTAGGCAAGATTGTTAGAGGACCGGACGCAAGGCAGAACCTTGCTAGTTCCTCCGCAGGTGACGGAAAAGTGACCACTACCACTGTTCTACAAGAAATGTTGAAGAGGATAGAGGCCATGAAGACCGGGATGAACACTATGAATGTTCGTTTAGACCTTCCAAAAGCTAAGATACCTCCAGAGAACATACCCTGCTTTGATGGAACCAAGGTTAGGGAGTTCTTGGAAGACTATGATGTCTTCGGTATGAGCCACGGTTGGTCTGACAAACAGAAGTTGAAAGCTCAGCTAGCCTATGTTGAACCTAAGATGACGGTGTCGGTGACAAAAACGACACAAAGACTGACAATATGGGTCGAGGTTAGACAAAAGATGCTGGAAGAATATGCGAAGTATGACGTTCTAACAACTATGCAAAATTTGTTGGAAGTGCGACGCTCTAAATATGCAACCCTTGATCAATTCCTAGAGGATTTTGAGCGGGTTGCGCGGAGAGCACCCTTCCTAGATGAGGCCCAGAAGTGTCATGTTCTGCTAACTAATTTTGCAGAGGATGAAAGAAAGAGTGTGGTAAGTCGCATTGCTCATTATCCTCTGAAGTGGGATGAAGTGGTTGAGATGGTCCGTGAACTACCTTCGGTGTCAAACCGGAAGTGGTCTCTGGAACAGATGAAAGCAATCACTAGTGCAAGAGAAGGAAATGTTGAGGCAGCTAAGGGAGGAAATTTGAAGGCCGAAGAGATCCTTGGTCTTCTCGTTAAGCTTGGTAGCTTCGAAAAGTTAACCCTTCCTGCTCCAGCGACTCAAGCACTTGTTGGAACCGAAGAAGGTAAGGAAGGAAGAAATAAGGAGAAATAAAAGGAAGAGAGTGAAAGTGAAAGTGAGAGTAGTGATGAGGAAGACGCTAGGCGAAGGAGAAAAGAGAGACAAAAGAAGAAACGCGACCGAGGTTGGAAGAAAGATAATAAGAGCCGAGATTGGCAAAGGAGAGATGGACCCTTCCGATGTTATTATTGTGACGAGAAAGGCCATACTATAACTCGATGCCCTATACTAGAGAAGGAACTCGAAGAAGGGATTATCAAGAAGAATGCCAATGGGCACGTCTGTGATGCCAATTGGAACAAGATAGATTTCCGAGTCAAAGGAGGGATGCGAGCAGTTATCCTAGAACAGGCTAGGGCCAATAAGGATAAAAAGAAGAAGGTTAGAGTTAATGTTATCACCTTTGATGGTATGCTACCTCCGGAGATAGTGGCTCGAGACGACAATCCTGGAAGGCAAAACTTGAATGTATCCCATATCAGCCAAAAAGAGGTCGAAGAGAAAAAGCGAGAGAATGCTCAAAGAGAGCTAGACCAGCTGATAGATGGGACCAAGGACCTAGTGAAGGAAGGGAAAGGAAAGGAAGCTGCCGGGAAGAAGAGAAGGGTGGTTCTGAGATCCGAGGCCGAGGAAGGGATCTCGATAGATGAAGTAGTAAAGAAATTGTTCGAGGAGATCGAGATCACCCTATCTTGGAAAGAAGCAGTAACTTTGGTACCTAAGTTTAGGGAAGAACTTAAGAAGATGGTTGAAAGGCGGAATGTAGAAATCAATAGGCTAAAACTCTTTCCTCAGCATGTGGAAAAAACCCCGCCTGGTACCAAGATAAGGTTTGGTAACATGCCGTGTGGATACTTGAATATCTCTGTGAATGATGTGAAGGTTAGAGCCCTAGTGGACTCTGGGGCCGAGATGGTGCTTATGTCCTCGGCCACGATGAGATCATGTGGGCTTGGAATAGATAGGAAGGTCAATCATCAGCTTTCCAACATAGTCGGGTTTCTGCCTTTGAAAGGTTTTATTGATGATTTGCCTATTCCAATTGGGACTTTACGGGCCGAGATCCTTTGTTTTGTGGTCCCCAACTTGGATCATGATTGCATTCTCGGAGCCCCTTTCCTACATAGAATGGAGGCTTGTGCGTTCTTTGGCCATAATGGGGCAGCCTGACTTTCTCTCTAGGATCCTAACAATGGTCAAGAACAGGCTTTTGTGATAAGTGATAGACATCATCCTCGTCATCAGCGACATGTTAACTCTCTTAAGCATGGAGAATCTGACAAGCTGGTTGAGGAAGTACGGGCGAAACTGAAAGAGAGTGGAATAATAAACGAGAAGATAACGATTAGAGTAAATGATATCGGGAAGATACTCAAGCTCCTGGATAAAGAGAAGGAGTTGGACGATAAGAGAGAGATGGAAGGATTCAAGGATGCTGTGAGGGCAGCCAAAGCTGGCACGATGCAGCTCACCTTCTCTGCGACTGACCCTTTTTTAGGAAAATAGTCATCGGATCTAAGAGAAAGTATAAGCGCAAGGGCGTTAAGAAGAATCCGGTGGCAGTTTTGATAGAGAAAGATTACAATGAGGCATTAGAGAAGGAGAGAAAGATAATTAAAAGATTAAGAGAGGCTGCATTAAAAGGAGGGAGAATTACCCCAGAGAGGTTCAAGATAATGAAGGTAGGAGCCGATGACTTCCTTTTGCCGGCTGAGAGGGATTTCATATATGAATTATGTCAGAAGTACAGTGGTGCCTTTTCCTTTAATGATAAGGAGAGGGGACGACTGGACGTTGACATGATCAAGATGGTCAAGATCTGGACCGTTCCTCACACACCTTGGAATGATAGACCCACAAAGTACGCTCAAGAGAAAGAAAAAGAGGTAATGGAGTACATAAACCAGAAGATCGCCTCCAACGTTGCGGAACCAGCTGATGGAGCTTACTCCAATCATTGGTTTTGCTTTTGGAAGCCAAGTGGTGGCCTACGCTGGATACAGAACTTGCAAAAGTTGAATTCGGTAACGGTTCGCGATGCGGGTAGCTTACCCAACGCGGATCTATTAGCCGAGTCGTTTGCCGGAAGGAGCATCTACTCCCTAATAGACTTGTACTCTGGCTATGACCAGTTCCGGATAGACCTACTAGTCGACCTATGAGTGCCATGCATACGCCTAGAGGCCTCATACAAATGTGTGTGGTGCCTCAAGGGTGGACGAATGGGGTCGTGGTCATTCAACGAGATATTCTGAAGGTCATGGAGGACATATGCCCAGAGGTTACGCTTCCATTCATTGACGACAATCCAGTTAAGTGACCGAAGGAAAAAGATGAGACTTTAATGGATAACCGAGTCAGGCAGTTCATATGGGAACATGCGCAGGGAGTAGCGAAAGTACTAGAAAGGCTGGCTAAATACAACCTAACAGCCAGCAGGCCGAAATCACTACTGTTCCAAAGGGAGGTAACGATCTTGGGTTTTAGGTGCTTCTTGGAAGGAAGAAGCCTCGATACGAAGAAAGTGGATAAACTCCTGAACTGGCCTATGCCTCTAAAAACGGTTGGGGAAGTAAGGAGCTTCCTAGGGGTCTGCAACTTCTGGCGAATCTTCATCCCCGGGTTCGCCAAGATAGTCGAGCCTCTTAGAGAAATGATGTGACAAGGAGCTAGCTTAGAGTGGTCTGACCAAAGAGAGAAGGCTGCGCGGGTATTTCAAGATAAGCTAAGAGATGGCGGGGTCGTATTAGGAGTACCATACTTCGACGATGAAAGGGAGAGGCCCTTCATCATCGAAGCCGATGGCGGCCCGATAGCATTAGGAGGGGTGCTCGTGCAGCGAGATGAGAATGGTAAAGAAAGACCACTTAGATTTGAGAGTCGTACCCTTAATTCGGTCGAGAGAGGCTATATTCAGTTCATGAAGGAACTACTGGTGATCCTGCACTGCCTCAGGGTGTTTAGACACTATGTTATGGGGTGGAGATTCATTCTAAGAACGGATTCCACAGCGGTAATAGGAGCTGCTAAGAGGCATCAACAAGTAGATGCTACAGTTAGTAGGTGGATAGCACACATATGGACGTATGATTTTGTGTTGGAAAAGGTACCTACTGAAAAGAATCGAGCCGATGGGCTGAGCCGCGTAGAATGGGGATCAATAGATGATGAATCTCTTGATGAGGCACCCTTCGTTGACGAATTCCTTATGGAAGACGATGATGAAGGACTACCTCCAGCTCCCAGTTGTTATACAGCCTCAGCCATAGCAACGAGCAGGGAAGACTGCTGGGGAGAAAAGGAAGACCCTTACCTTCACTACCTCCTAACTCGAGAGGATGAAGAAGAAGGATGGTACGGGATGGTAGAACAAGCTGTTGTTGCAACTCATGAGCTGGCAGAGAATTCAAGGATGGCTGAGCGAAGGCTGAATGAAATAGAGGAAGAGCCGGATGACCAGGAGCAAGATAAGGACGCTGAAGAGATATTTAGGAAGGATGAGTATGATGGGGAATATAAGAGGTGGTAATGAGCAGTAACCAGTTGGACGAATTCTATCATGAGAAAACAAAGAGAACCTTTAGGCTGCGTAGGGGTCACCTTTTTGTGGATGCTAAGGAAGGACTACCGCCACTGAGAGTAGTGTGTGGTAAGGAAAGGCAACTAGAGGTGACCGCCGCACTGCATGAGGGTCTAGCAGGGGGTCATAGGGGTGCTGATGCTACATACTATAAAGTATCTCGACTATATCATTGGGATGGTCTAAGTAAGTCATGTGAAGCCTGTCAGAAAATGTCATCTATGAGATTGATTGAATCCTTATACCCCACTGTTCTTGTTGAACCTGGCAGTATTGTTCACCTTAATCTAATCACTATGCCACCTGGTAAGGATGGAATGAAATATGTACTAAACATGAGAGATAACATGTCTGGTTATGTTGAAGCAAAAGTTATCCGTAAGAAAACTGCACAGACAGTGCCAGATTGGATCGAGGAAATCTACCTGAGGTACCCCTTCATACGTGAGTTTGTGGCTGATCAGGGATCAGAGTTCAAGAACGAGATGGTCAGGAAGCTCATGTTCAAACTTGGAGTCAGGATCAGATTTGTGACACCATATCATCCTCAAGCTAATGCACCAGTAGAAAGAGGTCACAGGACACTGTATCGAAATGGTGCCAAGGCGATTCCAGGAACTGGCTATCTTTCTTAAGGGCGGCAGTCTATGTTGACAATGTGACTGTCAAACGGACTATAGGTTATGCGCTCATTACACTCTGGTATGGCGGATATGCTACTTCTCCCATTGAGAACCTGGTTGAGACCTGGACCCATGAGGCACAGAGAGAGTCGTACTCCACAGAGGAGTTACTGAGGCTGAGGATCAGGCAGATCAAGGAAGTGGATGAGGCCATAATTGAGGCCACAAAGAGGATGTCAGACAACAGATTATCTGATCAGACACGGTGGAACAGCAAGAGGTACATCAGGAAGGAACGACTTCAGGTCGGAGATATTGTACTTCTACATGATACATCTCTCGAGACACAGTGGACCAAGAGATTGGAGGCCAGGTGGATGGGACCATTCAGGATCATCAGAGAGGTTGAAGGCAAGGCCTATGAGTTAGCAGAGATGGATGGTACGAGATCCCATGGTATAGTATCCGGCTCCCTGCTCCGAAAATTCATACTTAGAGACGCAGATTTGATTCCGAGTTCGGGCAGAGTGATGAGGCGAGGCCCGAGAGTCGTCTAGCATCAGCCCAAACATGCTGAGACGTGGCCAGTGTGCCCTCAACATTTGTTGGGACGTGGTGAGAGTGCCGCCAACTTCAGATAATTATATGCTGGGATGTGGACAGTGTGCCGCCAGCTTCAGTTGATGACGATTATATGCTGGGATGTGGACAGTGTGCCGCCAACTTCAGTTAATGACGATTATATGTTGGGATGTGGACAGTGTGCCGCCAACTTCAGTTGATGGCAATTATATGTTGGGATGTGGACAGTGTGCCGCCATCTTCAGTTGATGACGATTATATGTTGGGATGTGGACAGTGTGCCGCCAGCTTCAGTTGATGACGATTATATGCTGGGATGTTGACAGTGTGCGGCCAGCTTCAATTGATGACGATTATGAGCTGGGATGCGGACAGTGTTGCCGCCAGCTACAGATGATGATGATTATTGGCTGGGATGTGGCCAGTGAACCGCCAGCTATTGATGATTATGAGCTGGGATGTGGAAAGTGTTGTCGCCAGCTACAGATGATGATGATTATTTGCATGGGACGTGGCCAGTGAGCCGCCAACTATCGATGATTATGAGCTGGGATGTGGACAGTGTTGCCGCCAACTACAGATGATGATGATTATTTGCATGGGACGGTGCTGGGACGTGGCCCGTGTGCCTCCAGCAGCAGCCGACAGTCGGTTGCTATGATTATGGTATGATTTTGGATGCCGGAGCTGGATACGAGCAGCCTATGATGGCTCGACTCATTGGTGGACTTATGTGTCTGTCGGAACCAGATTGGCCCCAGTTTTACATGTATGTGAGTTAAACTCTTAAAATTTCAGTTCATTGCATTGTATATGGCTTGTCATGTGTCAGTCCTGGGACATGCCTGGGGGATTGGGAGCCAGTTTATGGGATTTCAGTTCTTGCCTCTTATTGTATTTTATTTAGTCTGAATGGCATTTATGAAATGAATGGTTGTGGGATAAAGTAAAATCTGTTTTCTTCCTCTCATAAGTCAACGCTCAGTTGATGGGGCAACCTTCTAGTACGATTGCGTAAGGAGGATTGCCTAGCATCATCTGGCACAAATTGATTAGCTATCTCTGAAGGAGGGTGACATTTGGCCTAGTGAAGTATTCCCTTGGCAAGAGACTCAGCATCGCCGAGATGGGGTTCCTCTCCAGACGGGCCTTCGCGGCTAAACGCTACCCAACTCTAAAGGGATAGGTAATCAGTCATGTGTCATAATCGATGGAGTGATCTGTCCTATC